GGAAGTCTGCAAATACCATTCATGGCAACTGTGAAAGAAAAGGGCAGATCCTTTGTCCAAACAAATCATTCAAGGATCATTCTGCAAGTACCATTTATCCTTTCCACTCACTTAAAATCCTTGCCCTTTGACACTTTCTGGAACCCTATGAGGTGGAACCCACGCTCCAGGCCCCGGCCTTGGGACACTGCTGATGGCAGTGCTGCGTCTCGCAATGCCCGTGACATCCCGAAGACTCCTCGAGTCGGCCGCACACCTGTCGGAGGGCTGCCGATGCGATTCGATTTCAAGCGGGAATGGCTGGTCGTTTTCTCATCCTCCCTATGGAATGCTCCACAAATCGAAAAAGAAATGGAAAGTCGTGCAGACCTGCCCAAGTGCGAACGGCACCGGTACGTAAGCTCTTCTCGGTTTGAAGTGCCGGAGCTGTGTCTACCAAGCAAAAATCGAGAGGTCCACCCCAACAAGCCCCTTCTGCGAGAGCATCTTGCTCCCATCGGGTGAGCAAAATGAAGTACCCATGTCTGCACTAATCCATCACGGGATGCTTTGCGCAGCTCGGGCCTTCAGGAAAGTTTCACGCTGTTTCTCGCAGCTGGCGCGGCACAGCTCGTCATCACCGCACCTCAGAGTCGACCCAAGCATGCGGCCTCTCGCTCAAACAAGCTGAGATGCGGCCAAACGTGTCCTCCTCAACTATGTCCATTGGCAAACGGCGGTGTCCCCCTGTTCTTAGCCGCGGTCGTCACGAACAACCAGACATGGAAATACCTGGCAAACTACCTTGCGAGCTAGGCATGTCATGTTCAAGGCAGTCTTGAACGCAGCCGACCGGCAAGCCAGGCAGCAGCATGAACGATAGGTCCCGCAAGCAGCACGAGCAGCGCATTGGAGGAACAAGCGGATCAGGCAATTAAGAGATCCCCCAGAAAGAAGCACTCGTGTGCGAAGGATATGTGCAATAAAGCGCTACCTCTTCAAGCATCTCAGTATCTCAAAGCCGGATAGAAACCTTAGAAACGGGAGCTGACGTCTTGGAGCACCGCATCAGCAACAGTGGATGTAAAGAGAAATGGTCCACATGCTGAGTGCAATCTCTGGGAGACCTCTACGAAATGAGCAGATCACCAAGGACGCAGCCTGAGCGTGGCTGCCCCTAGGCCTTTGGATGCCCTCGACTCTGAATGCCAAGACCAGCGGCCCCATGTCGCACTCGACGATGTCTCTCACGTCAGAATCTGCCTCAAGCCTTAGATGTGGCTGTCCGCTTTAAGGCCTAGGGGCTCCACATCACAGCCTTGGCCAACCTGCAACAGATATGTCACCTGGATAAGAAGCTCCGCGAAAGCAGCTTCACTGGACCAAGTCAAGGGAAGGTTTCAGTAGCCGTGGTCTGTCCCAAACCAACTTCAGGATCTCCAGCTGCAAGCGGTGCATGCCACTCAAATGATTGCCGCAAGCTCTGGCCGACCGATTTGAAGGCACATGCACAAGTGCTCTCGGATCAAATCCGAATGCAAATCCAGCGCTCATTCACACCCGGCTTCCCCGCCTGGTGGGGCACTTCTGCTGGCACTCCATCATTTCCAGACCCTTGCCTGTGCACCGCGACAGGCAGGCCGCAACAGGTGCGTCCTGCTTGCCTCAGAACAGCTGCACAGATGCAAGACTCGAAGGCTTGCCCGGCAAAGCAAAGGGAACAAACGCACGGCTGAGATTTAAAGCAAGAGGGAGTTTGTGAATGCCCGGCGAAGTGTCCTGCCAAATGCCAGGCTATGCTGGCATGGCTCAAGTCTCCAGCATGTGCACCCAGGGCTTTGGGCACTGCTCGATGCACTCCTGCGGAAGCCACGCCAAACAAAATCCTGCAGTCGCACCGAGGTCAACGTGACTCCCTATCGCGTGCTTGCGGCATGAGTACTTCTCCCCAGCGAGGTGCCGACGCTTGTCGCTTCTTCCAATCGCCTTCCTCCTACTGCACTTCACCCCTGCGCCTCGTTGTCTTGGCACCGCTCCTTGCAGAAGTGGCGATCGCCCTGAGCTGGCACGATACCCAGCGCTCGCATGCGCTCGCCAAGGAGCGAGTGATTTTGGGGGCGACTGAGAAGAACTGGGAGCCCACAAAGCTTCTCAGTTAAAGCAAGCTGCATTATCTTGGTACCCTGCCACCACCAAACCTGGAAGTGTACAGACCCTGTTGAAAGACTGCTTTCCTCTTGGCAAAGGGGCCGGCGCGCGTCCATGTTAATAGGTGGAAGGGTAGTAGAAATAGGATTCATGACTGACACCCCGATCATCATACAGCAATCGACACTTGTTACTACGGTTTTGTTTGCGTTGTCCTGCACGCCAGCTTGCCTGCTCATGAACATCAAGAAAGGTCCCTCAGTGCCTCACTGGGCCTCCAGAGAAAAAGAGACAAGTGCTACAACTCCTATCCACTCCACTCCAACATTCCCGAAGACACGGTGGACTTCTGGTCAATCTCACCTAAACAACGGGAGCAACCCACGCCTTGCACCGAGTACTCCCCATTCAATGGGCTTTGAGCAAAACTCATGTCACAACCGTCAGTCTCTGCATGAGATGCATTGCAATGTCCAGGCATGTCAGTGTATGGCTTGAGACTATCACAGCAAGACCCTTTGCCGTCAAGCATTCGCCAACAAAATATGCGGACTCTAAAATCGAACAGCTTGCCACTCTTCCTGGCGTGCAGCAGCAAATGCTTGCCTCTGCTTGATATGCTGTGTACATGCCGTGCCATGAGGGTTGGGCATTGATCGTGTTGCTTGTGTTTCCCAATGAGCCAGTTTATCATGGTAAAATGTACACTACTCTGTGACTCGCTTTCCCAGGGCACCCCACACTCCTTGAGGAAGGCCTTAAGGAACCTCCAAGAAGATCTTATACTAGGTCTGAATGTGACGTATGTCCAGGTCTTCATGGACTCTCCTTGTTCCCCGCTTAACTACTAGGCTCTTCCATCACCGTTCCAAAGATCAAATCATGAAAGCTGGCCAACGGGATCTTGGAGCTTGATGCAAGAGGGGCCACGGTTTCGTCTTGCAGTCTTACTCTTTCGCCAAGGCGCCATCTCCTTGTGCCAGCGTCCCGCAAAGTGCATTCCCACCACGTCTTGCAAGTCTGGCCTCAGCTTTGTCGTCGAAGCTGCTGGCGATCCACTTCTGTGCTTTCCTACTGGTGGCAATTTCAGTCCTAGCCAAGTTTGAGGGAGCAAAGCTTCAAACATGTGTCTGGGGCAGGTTCATCAAGACCAAATGAGGGTCCACTCGCCGTTTTCGCAACAGAGCAATTGTGTTCGCACCTTGCCTACAACAAACGTCTCTAAGTGTGCTTGACATTCACACTTCACCAGCCCTCTGCAGCACGTCAGGGAGGAACTTGCGTTTTGATGGAGTCGTGCAAATACGAAAATCTTTGCTCACCTATTGGAACAGATGCGCACATTGCGAAGGCATTGTGTGTGTGTGTGTATGTTGTTGATGCGTCTTTGTGCGTGCTGCCTGGTCCGGTCGCACTTCTCTGCCCAATCCACATACTATCAATGGCCAGGACAACAAACCTTGTTACATACTGGCTGTACTGCAATCGGCTTCCTGTGCTACTTGCAAGTGCCGAATGCTGCTTTTGCACTGTTGAGTACGCAAGCTGGTGAAAACAGGCTGGACCCGACGGCCAAATGATGCCCCTCTGCCTGGACCGCTTGAAGGTTCTATTCTGGTCCATTGGTCAGGATCCTACCGCCACACTCCCGCAGTCTTTTTTTTTCTGACTCAAGTTAACAAATACGACGAGGTGGCAGAACTGGCCCCAACAGAGCGCTCGATCCTTTTCTCGCCCAGGCGCTGTGCTCCCATGTGGAAGGCGGCCTTCAGGCTCACCAGCCCCAACCCCAGGGTAGATAGCACCGCCACCTCGGCGACAACTCGACATCGGGCATTAGTAAGACGAGAACGTCATCCAAGCAAAAGGCAGCCCAAACGAACAGGCCTTGTTCTTCGGTGAAATATGCTTCAGTCTTCAATTGCATGAGGCTGCAAAATCAGGGCCGAACGGTGAGTGAACAGGTGGTGAGGTTGGCCTACCTTTCAAGCAAGCTGGTAGCATCTGACGCACAAAACAGCTTTGAGGGGAGGAAACCGCTCGATGACAACCTTCAGTTGGGGATTCCGTATTTGTGACGGTTGGCCCTGGCGCAGGAAGCATCAAGAAATCTATATTGGGCACCAGAACCTCCAGCATGCTTCCCTTGTGGAAAAATGTTCAGATTGCACTTCCAGGTTGTATCAGGAATATGGATCGAATGCAAGCAAACAGTCACATGCGCTCCAAGGCACGACATAACTCCAAAATGACATCATGACGCAGGCCGAAAACGTCCGTGCGCTGTGAGGATTCAATGGCTGCAGGTCAACTAGCTGAGCACTGGCACAGCATGGAAGGGGATGACAGGCAAGTCGGTTGAAAACATGATCTTGAACCCAGCTAGTACATAACTATGCCTTCTGCCTCTCTGTCGTTCACTCAAGACATCTATTGTGGTGTTGGCAAGACAGCAGTGGCTCCTATGTCCCCATGCTGGCCGCCGTGAAGACATGGTGATTTGGACACTCATCATTCATCCAAGGCATGCTCACAGCAGCATCCCGGTTGATCAGCGACCAGCTTGATCACATCCCAAGGTCGCCATGGTTTGGACGAACAAATGGTCTCGCTTTGCCACTGATGGCTTGGGCTTGATTTTCTGCTCAAACTATCACTTGCTCCAAAGGCTGAAACAAAAACGCTGTTCTCAGCAATATGTGAAACAAACACCCAAAGCCCCAAGCATTACTTCAGAACTGCAAACAGCGCCTCTCTCACACACACATGAAACAGCCATGACTTGGCAGATCCTGGCAAATGAGCAACCAGTTTCTGGAAAGTGGAAAAATCACCCCCTGAACCCCTGCCCAGGCAAAACATGACGGGCCCGCTTTGCCACCTCCACCTGCGCAGCAGTGAGCCGCGACCTCAGGCGAGGCGCTCCAATCATGGCAGTCCTGCGCTGAATAATTTGATGTAGCATGCATTTCTTGCGAAAAGCAGCTCCCCTCGCCTCACCTCACCTCACCCAAACCTCGCCCAAACCTCGCCCAAACCCACCCCGCTCCATTTGCTTCAGCTCAACGCTGCAACTTGGAGAGGTCCGCCATGAAAGGCACCCGCTGGGCCTGGCTGCGGCTCGGCTCGGTGTGCCACCCTCGCATATCGTTAGGCTCAGAAGAAGAAATGCATGCTGAGTGTGAGATCAACCGCTAAACTGATTGAAACCTTGCGGGTGAGAGCTCCAGTCCATGAGCAGATTCGAGCATGGCCTGCCATCAAGGGCAACGACAAGCGTGGCGCAATGTTTCTGCTCGCCAATGGAAAGAGCGATGACTAGAAAGCATGTCCAGAGTAGAGTGGGTGTTTTCCACTTCGCAACTGGGTGTTTTGCTAGCTGGTGTTTCTGTGCTGGTTTTGTGCCTTGCGCAGTCCTTGACGCGATAGCAGTTGTAGCGTAACACGTGCGCTCCCATTGTCACTACTAGCTCTTGGAGAACCGTATCCCCTACTGTCAGCTATACTTGACAGGCCTCAATTCCACTACTGGAAGAAACAAATTTCAGAAATTGTGTTTGGCGCCGACTAGCAGGGGAAATGACGCCTTGAAGGAATCTCCCACACCTTCACAATTAAAGATGCTTCCCTCAAGCCCGAAGCCCCCAAATATCTACCTATGACGGATGCAGCATTCTTCTCATACATTCCCTGGACCCCAAGAGTGGTTGAAGTCAATCGCTTTGAGACTAGATTGTGCTATAACACACCTCTTGCAGATAGCTGTGCCCTTGCACGTGTTTGGGCCTTGCAAGGAGGGAGCCCGTTCGTACGGACAAGTGCGTAGCCAAATCCCATCAAAAAACAGGGATCCCCTAACATCTGTTCGGCCCTCTAACATTGCCTAATTTGGGGAAAGGTTTCGAGGTCACGCCCAAGGGTCACACTTCAAATTTGTAGAAAGGGTTCGGCCCGACTGGAGGCCAAAGAAAACTTTCACGGCACCATGCGGCGTTCCACACGAATCAAGCCACGCGCGCGAAGAGCCCCAACTTCAGCCATCAGCCCAGACTCGCAAAAAAAGAAGCTCTCCTACAAGCCGCACTGTAGCCTAACACAGCAGGATGTGTTCATGAACGTGGGTCTTGTCAAGGGTGCCTGCTCCCCTGTGCGCACTGACCCCAAACCCAGTTAGTCCTCACGTTGCAGGACCACGAAGCAAGTTCAAGGAGCGGTCAAGCATGTCAGTCATTGCTTCAAGGGGCGCACACAGCCACTGGCCTACATGGGCAGCTGCAGGCTGGGCTGAGAGTCGAGTGGGGGAGGCCCGAGAAAAAGAAGCTTCAAGGCAGGAACAGAGCAGGACACAAGAACGTACGCTAAGATGTGTTGAAGAGGAGCGCGCAGTTGTCGCGCTCAATGTCCATTAGCCTGACCCAACTCATGACTGTTCCCTTGGTGGTGTTTATTGATGAAGGGGGCAGTCAGAATGCGATCAACGTGTCTGTTCTGCCTGGCGGCCAACTTGGCTCAACCAGCCAACTCGGATCGGGCAAAGTGACGGGTTTTCCTGGCCAACTTGGCTCAACTAGCCAAATCCATTTCTCCCAAATGACGCGATTTCCAGAAATCACATGATGAAGCCCAGCCAACTGCATTCAGCCAGCCAAGTTGCGCCCCAAAATCAATCACAACTGCTGACCCCCCAGCCCATGTGAAATCGCGACGGGTTTTCCAGAAAACCAGTCACAATTTAGTCCTGAAACTGAAAACCCATCACACTTTTGCGGGCTGACACAGTGCAGCAAGTGTGACGGGTTTGCACCAACAGCCACAAATTGCGACGCGTTTTTTGGAAAACCAGTCACACTTTGGGAGGGCATGCCTTCCTCCAAAGTATGACGGGTTTTGACCTGAGATCCCAGCTCATTCGGATTCTCGGCACCATTCCCCCTTCGTGAGCCAGCCCATTAGCTGGGCCAACCAGGCCTGCAAATTTCCTTCTTGGTTGACGACGGGAACAGTCATGATTTGGGTCAGGCTACTGGACACTGATGCGCAGCGAAAACTCGCACTTGGATGTGGGCAGCAGCGCGACAACTGCGCGCTCCTCTTCAACACATCTTAGCGTACGTTCTTGTGTCCTGCTCTGTTCCTGCCTTGAAGCTTCTTTTCTCGGGCCTCCCCCACTCGACTCTCAGCCCAGCCTGCAGCTGCCCATGTAGGCCAGTGGCTGTGTGCGCCCCTTGAAGCAATGACTGACATGCTTGACCGCTCCTTGAACTTGCTTCGTGGTCCTGCAACGTGAGGACTAACTGGGTTTGGGGTCAGTGCGCACAGGGGAGCAGGCACCCTTGACAAGACCCACGTTCATGAACACATCCTGCTATGTTAGGCTACAGTGCGGCTTGTAGGAGAGCTTCTTTTTTTGCGAGTCTGGGCTCATGGCTGAAGTTGGGGCTCTTCGCGCGCGTGGCTTGATTCGTGTGGAACGCCGCATGGTGCCGTGAAAGTTTTCTTTGGCCTCCAGTCGGGCCGAACCCTTTCTACAAATTTGAAGTGTGACCCTTGGGCGTGACCTCGAAACCTTTCCCCAAATTAGGCAATGTTAAAGGGCCGAACAGATGCTAGGGGATCCCTATTTTTTGATGGGATTTGGCTACGCACTTGTCCGTACGAACAGGCTCCCTCCTTGCAAGGCCCAAACACGTGCAAGGGCACAGCTATCTGCAAGAGGTGTGTTATAGCACAATCTAGTCTCAAAGCGATTGACTTCAACCACTCTTGGGGTCCAGGGAATGTATGGGCGAAAGTGCTGCAGCGTGAGAGCCGCGACTCACGCAGAAACAAGCGAACATTAGAGCAAAGCAAGGGCCTACCATACTGTCTGGAAATGTGTCCTACCGCAAGCTTGGTTGCCACCAGCATCGTGGGAGATTCCTTCAAGGCGTCCTTTCCCCTGCTGGTCAGCACGGCGCCAAGATGCGCCAAGCACAATTTCTGAAATGTGTTTCTTCCAGTAGTGGAATTGAGGCCTGTCAAGTAGCTGACGGTATAGCGGATATTGTTGTCCAAGAGCTGCTAGTGACAATGGGAAGGCACGTGTTACGCTACAAAGCGGCAAGGCACAAAACCAGTACAGAAGCACCAGCTAGCAAAACACCCAGTTGCGAAATGGAAAACACCCAGTCCACTCTGGACATGCTTTAGAGTGATTCATCATCAAGCTGGGGGGATGTCAACACCCATTCCCTGCGCATGATGGGGCCCTTCATATCCAACGTGCGGAGCACTCACAAGTTCCGGAACCAAGCTGCCTCTGAAGGACAGCAAGGTAGTCGAACCAAGTCTTGCTGTGGGAGGCTTGCAACACTAGCACTGTGTTTTACCTACTTTGTCCAGCCTGGTATTCTTATCAAAGCCTGGAAAACGGCACCCACTTTGCACCGGTCGGTTGCCGGCAACCCAATCTATTGATAGACTGCGACACTTTCGGGGCTCGCCGAAGTGAGCTGAGTGAAATGTACCTGAATGCTGTACAGGGGTACCAGATGGGACAAAACGAAACATGTAGAGGTGTCGCTGTAAATCGCAACCAACAGCGAACCCATGGAACCGCCAAGCGTATTTGCAAGATTCAGGCATATGGGAAATCAAAGTAGCCCCAAAAGGTCAAAGTGCGGTAACACGGTTGCTTTGCAGGACAAATTCAGATTTGCGTAGCAAAGGCACCAGCTCGAGCTGTGTCCTTGTGTGACCTTATCTGGAGGTAATATTTTTGGTATCTAGCGGGTATAGCCATAGCATTGTGCGTGTCACTTTTCTCCCGCTTAGTTAGGAAGAACAGACCTAGGTGTTGCCATGGTGTTTGCAAGGCTTTCTGCATCCAAGGAAAAAATATTTGAAGCAAGATAGCCCTCTGCAATGGCATCTCGAGTCTCTGCTTGACAGCGCATCATTCGGCGGATCCTGAGGCCTCCAACCCGTCTGGGATCACCATATGGCTGCAAAGAACAGGGATGCGCGCACATATGAAAACGAAAGAGATCTTGCTGCGTGATACTGCTCAGCAAACGCAGCGCAGTATCAAAATTGGCAGAGTGCTTTTGCCAGTCATAGCTCTGATGTTGTTTTTTGCTTTTTCTTCCTAGGAGAAGGGGTTGCTCCATACCGCTAGTGATGATCCAATTGACACATAACTCAAGGAAGCTAATCCCGGGATCCGCGGACGTGATTTCACCAGACCATTGAAGATCACTAGCCCATGCGAACAAAGATTTGCCAAAAGCTTCGCCCCACACAAAGGCAAGGAAAACTTCTTGGTTACATGGTCGGAGGTTGGTCTGGCGAGGATTGACCGACCAATCTCTGATTAAGGCGATGCGTTCCTCAAAAGGTGTCTTTTGGAAACATAGTTCTTTAGTGGTGGCCTTAGCACGATGATATGTGAGTTGGCAATCGAGTAAAGCCATTCTGTGGGCGCCCACTTTCCACATGAGTTGCAAACTTGACAGTTCGCCAACAGCTCCCCTCGCTCGCCGACCCTCCCCGCCTCTTGCAGCGTCTTTGCCTCTTGCATCCGCTGGCCCAGAAAGCGCTTGGCGCTCTCCATACAGGCCTCGGACTTGGTCTAGGTGCCAACCAGACCCCACTTCAAGCAAACTGCCTGGCACACACAGACACACACAGACACTCACACAGACACTCACGACACAAACACAGACACAGACACAGACACAGACACAAACACAGACACAGACACAGACACAGACACACACACACACACACAGACAGACACCCTTAGACTGACACGCAGAGGGCATAGATGCAAGGTGCACCGCTCTCTCCAACGAAGGCCACCCCCCTCCCACCCCCTACCCGGTGCCTGCGCTGTCTGCTCGACGGTGCAGCCCTCCTCGCTGATTTTCTGCGCCTGGCAAACCGGCCAAGCTTGCGCATCTGTCGCGGACGTGACATTGATGATCATTCGTGAATGACCTGTGCACACACACACAGGAGATAACAAAGAAGAATGCAAGACAAAAAGCAGAGACCGTTGCCTCTTTGTGGTGTAAAGAGATGCTCTTGTGGGTTGCCTTCCTGTCTGTGTACCGTTTATGTGGCGCATCCAAAATCAAGCTGTCAGCTTTGCCACAAGTTAGCTTGCATTCTCCGATGGCCACACTGTATGATGGAGCTAGACACCAAGTTTCCCGCAAGCATTTACAGCAACGCTGACCATGCTCTAAGTGTACTGCGTGCTACTTGCGTTTCAGGTTGTCAGCTTCGAGCAGGAGCCACAGGATCCAGGCGAGGTTCAAGCCGGGAGCCGTTCGCATGCAAGGGCCGACGCACAACCTATGACACAAATTTTGAAGCGGTTCCAAAAGCTTCTACACGCCCAATCCGCGTGAGAGATCCCTTGGACACCTAGAAGACTTTGAAGATGCGCCTTTTGCGGAGTGTCCGTATGCGAGCTCGCAAGCCGTGGGTTTCGCTGAGGCTTTGCACCTACCACCCGATTGCCTGGGAGGGCTGACATCAGACACCTTCCTGCTGCAAAACAGAAGAGCTAGCAGGGCTGTGCAAGCAAATGCCAGCAGCGTTGTGTCAGCGCAACACAAGGAGTACTGCGAAAGTCGTGAACGTGCAAGCAACGCTTGATTAAGCCTGCGGGAAAACTTTGCCTGTGAAAAGGACAATTAGCCATTGCCGCAATGGGCGACAAAAGAACAATTCCAACAGCCCACGCAAAGAGCGGCCCCCGGAACAAAAGTGACTTTGTCGCACCAGTCCTGCGCAAAACACGGCCAGCAAGCCACGGCTGAATCCCAACTGATGCAGACGACTTCTGAGCTGCGAACAGTCTCGAAGCAACTAGGGGGTAAGAGTGGCAAGCAATACATAAAAGTGTGGAGGGATCAGCAAGGACAAAGGCCCTGACTCCCTGGGCCAGCGCAATTCCAAAATGTTGTACACATCGACATGCCTCGTCTTTGCTGAGCGTGGCGATGCTGCTCTCGCTGAAACGGGCCATCACCTCCCCCATCTGCTTCACCTTGGGGGACATATGAATGGGTTCAAGGCACCATTCCATGGCCACCGCATCATTCCCAAAGAAAGAAGAGTTCGGCAAGGTGAGCTAGACAAAGCTTAAAACAATTCAATCAAAAAAGAGCGGCACAACGCAAAAACCACGCAGGGCGATGAGATCCAGAGCACATTGGGCAACTGGCTGACGCTGGATAATGGAAGAAGACTCACATGTTTTAAGGGATGGCGTCCTTCAAATAGAGCCTGAATGATGCTACACATGCCACTTCAAACAACTCACAAACGAGGAATAGAGGATGAGGAGCAACATATGCACAAACATCAGCCCGCGATTCTACATTAAAACAATGCATGCGAGTATACAATGCATCTCCTAGACTGGACTGGTGACGCTGCGGCGCACGAAACAAGAATCAAAGTGTTTGCTGATTGAAATCATAGCAAACAAATACGTGTTATTAACTGTCCCCAAGGAGTCGCATCTCACGGAGGTACGTGACCAAATGCTCGCGACGTGCTGAGCGATGAACTCATGGATTTCAGGCATTCGGACATAGACCAAAAGCTTCAGGGCCGCACCTTTCAAGATTTAAGTTGTCCAGTGACCTCATCGGAGAGACGGATTTCTGACACTGGACACCATGGACCGGTGGCCCTTCCCCCTGTTCCCACTTGGCTTCCCCGCAGCAGCCTCTACTTTCGAGACTTTCTCTGCGGTGGTCAGGAGGTGAGCCTCGCCGCAGTGCAACATTCCCGGGGTCGGACCGGTGAGCTGGGGAGGACACGTGTGAAATGTCAAGAGTCTGCTCGGCAACCCAAATACCCCTTCGCACATGGTCATCGATCAGTCGGAAACTGAGGACCCGTTCATGATCAACTCGTGCACCTCAATGAAGCTTCGCCCAAATGCCAAAGACCACGCAAGACAACATGCGGTTCGGACCTTCAGGTCTAAGATTAGCCCGTTCCCCGAACAGGCATAAGGAGATCATCACCACAAGAAAGCCCCTTGCCCCAATGACGCGGCCTTGCGCTTTCTCTCAGTCGTCTCCTGCAGTGGGCTAGGAAAACTGCTCCCCTCGGCCTCGCCTGCAACCTCAAACACAAGCTTGAGCAAAGGACTGTATTAGATTGGTACTCTCTTCTTTGCCTTGGATGGACCAAGACAAGTGTCTGACCCTCCTTCATGAACTCAACTTTCGCAGAAAAGGCCCAGGCTACTCTGGATCAGCAAACCGATAAAAGGGAAGATTTCGGTGCTTGCCCTATCCTTCAACGCATTCCCCGACCAGTCGCCTCAAGCGGCTCATCAGCGCAATGCATCAGATAAATCTGGGAATTCCGCTTTGAGCGGCCAGTCAGGGCGTTCCGACCAGGCCACATTGAGCGCATCGGCGCAAAGACTGCACGTCTCGCCTTCTTGAGCTCGTTCAGCTTCAGGGCCATGCCGTCCAGACGCTTCTGCAGCGCCAGCTGGTCCTGAACCCGTCTTAGAACTGCTTCAGTTGTCAGGTTGAAGGGCACGGAGGGTCCTGCAAAATTGGAAGGCCCAGGGATAAAAAGTGAGGCGGGAGCAAAAACGGCATGCCTTCACGGTGTTTTCGGCACACCTTTGGTGGGCGGGGGGATACCAGGAGCCGCCCAAAAGTCCACCCCTCTCGCCTCTCGACCAAAACCGACACCCGTCGCAACGAAGGGCCTTGGTGCAGAGGTCGGAGGCAGCTTCCCCAAACTCCTTGGCTTTGGTGAGGCACTGGAGCGTCGCGCTCCGTGCCTGCAAGACACACATGGCACGAGCTCAAACAGCCGCAGCCTGGCTCAACGCTGCGGCCCATTGACTTATAGCCCTGAATACGACGCCAAAAGGCTTAGATAGGAACCCCTACCTCTGGGCCTTAGCCCCGCCCGATGGCTTATTCCTAAATAGAATTTGTCCCATGTGGTAGAACCTCGTGATTGCTTGCAACAAAATGCGCACGACCGGAACAAAGATGCCTGACGTGAGGTTCTACAGGAACGGTGTTGGTCAAAAGGCGTTTCGGAATACCATGCCCTGGCACATCGTCTCATATGTGGGTGATCAACATGGACATGAATATGTCGTCCAGGTCGACATCCATTGTGTCCCCAACTGATATTGGAACTTGGTGAGTACCATCCCATTTCCTCGTGGTAGCTTGATGTGTGTGCCCCACCATGTCATCCGCTCCACCGTAGATGGCAAACATATTGACTGTTTCTCATGTTATCCTCACAAGAAGGGTGCGATTCATCTGTCCCGCGCCCGCGAAAGACTGAAGACTCCGCATCATCCGGGAGGGCTCGACGACAACTTGATATTGAGGAAACTAGGAGCCTCAGAAATACGACTGCCTACCGCCTTGTTTTGCAGAGATGCTACATACACTGCCAAAAAGAAGGCCATCTGAGATTTGCAGGCTTGTCTCGGACAAAGAATTTGGCAGTGGGGACTAAGAAACTGCAAAGGTCCTAGCAAACATATTTACATTAAGGGTCCCAGCAAATATGGCAGCCCAGCCAGGCTCCTCGCTTCCCTCGACAGAGAACATTGTGATAAGAGTCCATGACGAAGGAACTGGCTCATTTTCCCTGAAGACCATGTGGTCCAAACTTTTAAAAGACCGGGCCTCGCTGATGGCTTTCTGAGCTGCCAAGGCAGTCGCCTGGACAAACATGGGGAGATTCGCCCCCTTCTCATGTTGGGGGTGCGGCTTGCCTCTGCTTGGGAAAGAAGCAACCACCTCCTAACGTCGTGGCCGCGCTATAACTTGCACTGACATGACCTATTGAGAGGGAGAGGAGGAATCCCGCAATCGTTTTTTTTGCGCCAACAGAGAGAAAGCTGTTTGACACCCCTGGTGATGAAGGAAGATCAATTTCTTGATGTTTGACTCAAACAATGAAACCTAGACCTGTGCACCACCGAACTATCACATATGTTGATGAGTGAAGGACTGACCTATCATGCAGGACCAGCGAGACATCCGGAAATCCGTACCGCCAAACAAATCCGGCCTCACAATCCGCCAATGCCTGCTGCGCTTCTGCTGGGGACACCTGGCACTGAAGTGTGCTGCCCTGAAGGGCCTGCAACCGTTCTGAGAAAATACAATGCTGGCAGCTTGTTCATGCTCACGCCGCCACTAACGGCGCTGAGCATTTCGCACATTTTTATACGAACACGTCCCACCGCCTTTCCCGCTGTTCTGGTCGACGCCTTGATGACTTTGGTGGGGTGGGGTGGGGTGGGGTAATAACGTACGGGGCGCAAGTTGCTCGGATGCCTGCTGTTGTGTGGTTTAGTCGCAAGTTTAGTCCCGGACACAGTATCACGCAGGCCGAATTTGGACTTTTATATTCCCTAGCGTGTGTCATCGAATCTTGCTAATTATGACTGGTCCGCCGAAGGCTCCAAGACTATGATGTACACTTCAGTTCTGTGAGCCATAGTTCGCTGCAGTTTGCCAAGAATGTTAAAGTTTGGAAAGACGTGCAGAGGTGGCTGCCACCTTGTGTCACGCTAAGAAGAAGGGCGAGCTGAATTCCGAGCGATGGCGATATTCGCATAATTATCAATGGCGGCACAACACGCGTGATTGCTTGCAGGAAGCAATGCCGTAGTTATTGTTTGTCCAGAAATCCTGCTTGGGCGTTTGTCAGGGTTGTGAATTCCTCCGCGCCGGTAGTGGCGGCGTGACCTTGTTCATTGGCTGGCTTCAGGCAGACATCGCGGCGCTCGAAGCTGGTCTTTCTTGCTTGCCCCCATGCCAGGGGTAACCCGCGCAAGAGTCCAGCTTCAGCTTCGGCTCCCTCATGTTTCCCGGGATCCTTCTCATATGGCAGTGGGTCAAAAAATAGGTACCCCAAATGGAACCCCAAAACATGGACCAAGACCTGCGGTCCATATCCTGGTGGTTTCATTCTGACCTATACCCATATGCCCAAAACCCCAGAGAAGTCGCGAACCGACATCGGCCCGTCGCCACCTCACAGTCCTTCTGGAACGGCCGCTCCGCCTCGGAGGCCTGAGAAGCAAATCGCCCGCACGGATCCGTGGCATAAGGAGCTGTCTGAAACCGCCATGCTCCCCGATCTCGAGTGAAGACATATTGGCCCAGCAAATGCGCTGGTTGACCTTTTTTTTTCGTGATACGGCTCCTTGTAGATCGGATCATGTATGACATTCGCCTGCATGCAGCATTGTCGTGTCCAAAAAAAACAAAGAAGAAGGGAACAAACTTGCTGCTGGAACCTGTATGATGGTTGTGAACATCAAGCACCTAATTATATCCATCGTCTCCATTCCCTCAGTACCTCACTTGGGAAGCATTGAACTGAAAGTGCAAGCCAGGACATGAAGGCATGTGCACAGGCTCGAATATTGACGCATGAGGGTGCTTTGCAAGCATCAACAAGTTGGAGAACACACCATCTGGCGCGTGCTCAGTCTGGCCAACGCTGCAAATTGAGAAAGACCTAAGGTCAAATGCCAGAAGAGAATAATTCGGACTGAGTGCAGCTGGCTGTAGGCAATCCTGCTTTTTATACGGCACCCATGGCTCCATCCAGGAGCCCATCACTGTCTCTCCCAATTGTGGACCTCTTGGACATTGACCAGGCGTTGCCATTCTCCAATTTGCACGTCGCGCTGGCCATGCCTGGCCTTCTGCAGGGCAGCCTCGCACCTCTCTACCTGACGGCTTGGAGCGCAACGTTGGATACGGGCTGGGGGTCTTCGTATGCGCCTGGGTTGATGCTGCCTTGGAGGGAGAGGGAGGGAGGGAGGGAGGGAGGGAGGGAGGGAGGGAGGGAGGGAGGGAGGGAGGGAGGGAGGGAGGGAGGGAGGGGAGGGAGAGGAGGGAGGGAGGGAGGAGGGGGAGGGAGGGAGGGAGGGAGGGAGGGGGAGGAGGGAGGGGAGGGAGGGAGGGAGGGAGGAGGTGGGAGGGAGGGAGGGAGGGAGGGAGGGAGGGAGGGGGGGAGGGAGGAGGGGAGGGGGAGGGAGGGAGGGAGGAGGGAGGAGGGAGGAGGGAGGGAGGGAGGGAGGGAGGGAGGGAGGAGGGAGGGGGAGGGAGGGAGGGAGGGAGGGAGCGGGAGGGAGGGAGGGAGGGAGGGAGGGAGGGAGGGAGGGGAGGGAGGGAGGGAGGGAGGAGGGGGGGAGGGAGGGAGGGAGGGAGGGAGGGAGGGAGGGAGGGGGAGGGAGGGAAAAAGGGAGGGAGGGAGTGGGAGGGAGGGAGGGAGGGAGGGAGGGAGGGGGGAGGGAGGGAGGGAGGGAGGGAGGGAGGGAGGGGAGGGAGGGACACACAAGCTCAGATTTTAAAAGCTTGTCGCAGCTGTGCAACGCGTTGCGATTTGTCCACCGCAGCGCTTGTGAGAGGCCCCCGGATAGACACATAGACATTGCTCAGGCATCAGTGTGCGCAAGACAAAAGCACAAGTCAGGTGAAACACATAGCTTTGACAATAATAAGGGTACACCTTCAAACAAATGGGAACACCGCAGGCTTGGCTGCACAGACCCTCACCTGGCTCAATAAAAACTAAGGACCAATAGACGCAAGCTGCAGCACAGGGAGGGGAGGGAGCAGTGGAACACAGAGTAGTTCACCATCCACCATAAGCCCACACAAACTGCTCCGATCAAGCGTTTTATCCCGAGGCCTTCTCCAGGGACTCCGCGGTAAGCTCACACGCCTGTAGCCGCTCGCGCCTGGCAAAGATCGGCTGGCCGTGGATGAACAAAGGAAAGGTTCGGGGACTCTGTCAAGTACCGATCCAAATCAAGCACGGTCCCAGCCTCGTGTTGTGTGCAAGTTGCACCGTTCGTGGCAGTCATTTTGGGAGGGGGACAAGGGTGCAGCAGGAGATGATGAGATACGTCACGGGTTTGCAGCGGACTGCTAGCGCCCTCCTATCATTGGCAGAGCACAATTCTCGCCATCCCCTTCAGATTTGCGTGTCTTGGGCTATTGTTGGGGCGGGCATTCAGGTTTTGCAGGAGAAAATGGGAACGCAATGAAGAGGAGATAGAGAGATATGAGTGTTTCTTTTTTGGGGCTACCCTTGCTGGGAGGAAGACAAAAGACAAACCACCAAATTGATGGAAAAAAACCCACAAATACAGCGATAGGGCAACAAAGGGATAGCGAGATAGCGAAGAGCCAAACAGAAAGAGCCCTAAAGTACATACTCAGGATAGGGTAAATCTTAGATTCAAAAATCTACAACTATTGTTGCTTTCCCTTGGGGCCCTATGGAACTTGGCAGAAGATCATCACACCTCCGAAAGGTGCCAAATTGTGGCACGTTCGATCTCGTCTGGACGGAGCAATGCAACGCACACGCCTTTCACTCCGGGGAATATCATGCTGGCATATGGATTCGCACATTGCGAGCTGGTCTTGGCCGGCCCGGCAACTGTGGAACAATCCATCCCGACCAGCTCCCGAGAATGCCATGCCATACTCAAGCCATGGCAGCTGTGCTGCTCTTTGGCTGCTGCGATCACGGTGTCCAGCTTCTTCTCCGCCTGCCCAAAGCTGGTCCAATGCGCGAGGAGTCACTTGTGCCCAGCCCTTTTGGCCATCAAAACTGGAAAACTCATCATGGTCTTGGGCCATTGTTTGCAACAGGAGGCTTTGAGCCAGCCGCAGGTACACAAATATTGCGGCGCGTGTTGGTTGGTTTTCTCGTGGCACGCTGGAGAGGTCCTGGATATTGATACTAAACCAAACCAAACTCATGAAACTCGGGTAAAACGGATTGTCCTCCTTCCCTACTTGCAATGTTCCGGGTTTCAAGGCGTCAACCGTACTTTCAAGCAGCAAAGTTGCAGTGTTTCTACACTGAACATCGGGAACCTACAACGAGTCTGGGAATATCTTCCAAGATGCCAGCATCGGCGCTTGCCCCCCCCCCCCCCCCCCGCGGCAAAACTGGCTCTTGCTCTCCTGATCTAGCTGCTTTCAAACCGCGTTTCTAATAATCTGGTGGGTGGATAGCAATTCCTATGACAGCTGCCTGCCTTCTTGATTCTGCTCTGCATCGCATTCAGCTCCTCTTGCAGGAAGCCCTGCGCGCCTCAAGACCGGTGCCCAAAGAGAACACGCTGGTGGCTGCCTTCTCTTCTGCATCGCTGCATCGAGCAATTGTTTCAGAAGCAGCATAACATAAAGGTGCACGAGTACAATCTGCTTGTCAAATGGCTTCGAAACATTCGGGATCTATATGAGCAAGCTCTCTCTCTCTCTCTCTCCCTCTTAAAATCGATGATGCGTTTCAGAACGTCATGAGCAACTATCCAACCGGACATCTTGCTTCAGCCACCAGCAAATGAAAACGCCAGCTGAAATACAGCTCCTGGCTTGCCTTATACTGTGCGTCTGGCTGCGGAGCTTGATGTTGAGAAGTTTCGAAAGCTGCTCCAGCTTGGTCTTTGCCGCGCCATTGGCCTCCCATCGGGTTCCGCAAACGGATGCCAAAGACTCCCCAGCATTGCTGCACTGCCATCCTCTTTTCGGGGGACACGGGGCTTCTTTCCTCCGCCACTGGCACCTCCCACACGGCGCCTGCTCCATGGCCTGCACCTGCTCCACGGAGGCCTCCTGTCCCTCGCGAGTGTCGGGGAAATTCAGAAGTGGACACGGAAAATCCCCAGCCCAGCTCGGACGCCGCAGCTGAGAGAACTTAACTTTCCCTCTGCGAGAGGCGAAGAACGCAAAAGGTGGATGCGGCAATTCGGCACAACGGGCTTTGCACTGGGCTTTGCACCACAAGCCTAGTGAGGTGAGGAAAATTTCACCGAGGCTCAGTCTTGGAATCCGGTAGTCAAACGCTGCACGGACTTGCAAAGTGCCATCAAGTCAGCGACTTGCAGGATGTGCAAAGATCATGCGTATTGATCCATAATGGCACTGAGCGTGAGTTAATCCGATGACAAAACAACCAATCTGGAAGCACTAAGATACACATATATGCACGCTTTCAGGCAGGACGCAAGCAGGTGTTGCTGCAGAGGAACGTTGAGCATCCTGTGTCAAAATGACAACCATACACCTGGTTGAAGGAAACTTGATCGGCCAACGAAAAGCGATGGGTTTGGCTGGGAGCAACCACCAGACCCGAGTCTTGCTTCTCAATCCTCGCGCACCATTCCTCAACATCCCCGTCTGCCGCCCTCCCGCTCCGGAACAGAGCTTGCAGCAACCTTCTCAACCTGTCGGCGTGTGGTTGGGATCAGCAAATGTGCTATTAAATGCAACGATCAAGGACAATGGCAAAGTCTCACTTGAGTTTGCGAAGCGATGCACAAGGGATCTGTCTGGTTCTTTCGGCTGCATATGTTTAGCTTAGCCCCAGTGTGGCATCCCATGTGACGGCACATGCCGCGGCTGTCAGCGAGTTGCTGGCATGTAAGGGGTGTCAGCAAGCCCTGCTTGAGAGACAGCTATCAGTTTCACCCCTGGTCCAGACTTTAACATCCCAGCCCCCAGCCCCACATTGGCAGAAAAGGATTATGTCTCGCCTCAATCGGCCCCTTGCAACCGCGCGCCCCTTGCAACCGCGCGCCCCTGCATTCCGAAATCCATTGGGCCGCATTTGTGCCGCTTGACTGAGACTTCACATGCGCGAGACGGCCACCTCAAGACCCGGGGCCCCGTAGGCCGGCCCCGTCTGGCCTCTCCCTCGGATACATGAAGCTGTTCGGAGACCTGACCAAAACCCGATGGGCTGCTCAGTCCCTCGTGTCTCCTAATTGATCACTCTGCAAACCAGAGAATCCCTTGCAACCCAAATGAACTGGAGCCCCTGTTGAGACATCAGGCATCGAGACACTGAAAACACACACAAAAATACTATTGGAGGCAAACTAGGACTAGAGCACGCGAGCTGCACTATATAAGAGCATCAGCCCTGGCAAGCTTGGAAGCTGGCGTGCCGGGTGGCAGAACACACGCCCAGTGGAAACAAAACTGCGCGAGGGCACCTCCAAGTCAACAATCTAAGCAACACGATTCAAAAGCGATGCAAAGAGAGCACCGTACGGGCTATCTGCAAGTCTGCTGTTCAGGTGCATGGAAGATTTGCAAAAACAAAAACACAAAAAACAGTGATGCTGAGCCCTCGCTAGTCATACGAAACACGGATTCATGCAAAAACTATATTATTGCTTCGCTTCCTCCAGCATGTCATACGTTGGCCATCACTGCTGGGCTCCGATTTGGACTGCAGTGTGTTCAGGTATCGGAAAGCTGATCAGGCAACAAGCACTTGCTCGTTCTGAAAAGCCCCCTGGAGCACTGCAATAACCTGAGCACGGCAATCATGTCATGACCATTTAGCGCCTCTGCCAGCATCTCTTTCACTTTCAGTCGCTCCTAAAGCAACCGGCGCAAGCACCGCCCAACGCAGTGCACCAATACCGTCACTTCAATTGGACAATGGACCACAAAGTTTAACAAGGGCAGAAGATTGAACAGCCTGGGGCCAAGTCAGGAGAGGCAATGGCTTCTTGAGTTCAATGCTTGCCCAGGCCTGTGGTGCCCTCCGCAGTGCCATTTCCGCTGCACCCCAACACTCCCCCGGCATCAAGAGCTGCCTGTACAACGCAATTCAACAAAATGATATCCCAAACCAGAAGCACTTCCCCTTTAGCTCGTCCATCACTACTGCCAAAGAGTCGACCTATGCAGAAACAACAAAGATAGACTATGCTGATGCATACATGTGGTCTGACAGAAAACGACACTCGAACTGGGACGAGTTAACCCAGAATCACAAGGTTCCAGCGATGCGTTCCAGATCACCACGATAGGCATACGACATGAGGAACAAACATGAGTCTAGATTGTCTCAAGGCAAACACCGTCGCAAAATCGGGACACTTGAGGCCTTAAGATAGCCTCGACCGAAAGCTGGTGATCAGGGGCATGTTGAACACTTGTTTAAAGCCTGGTTGGCGGCGAAGCTGTGCTATAGGGTCCTTGAATTTGAATGACTGGAACGATAGAATAGAGCACATATCTTAAATATGAGATATTCTGCCATAGCTTGGTCTCCTCTCCCTGAATGATGCTGGCACGAAGCTTCGCAATGTCCTGGCAATGTCAGCGTTGGTGGACATTCTCTCTTCCACGCCGGAGGAAGCATTCTACAGCACCAAGGAAACTGGGTGGTTGCCGAAGTGGACTGTCTGACCTCGTCCCTCTTGCACCTCAAAGTGAAGCCATGAAATGGCAGACCTCCAACCCTCCCTGTCCTGCTGCATGCTGTGGACCTGAGCTCCGGCAAGGAATCATTCAGCAACATATGTGGATGAGCTCGACTCCAATTTGATTCTTGGGTGCCTAAGAACATGACCTGTCAGAGCAATGACTTCACTAGATATTTGCTACGACATGCCGCCTGGAATCCTGTTTTCAAGAGAATACCCTATATTAGAGCTTCTGGGTGGGAATAAATTGATGGCTAAACTGATTGGCATGTTGATCAACCGAGCAAACGATCAAAAGTTGAACAATGGGCCTTCTCGTTGTCCACTTGCGGACCGTTCCAGGCAGGATCCGCCAGCGACTCCTTTCGTCCCAAACTGCAACACGCACTGACAGTGTTCCATCTTTCAACCCCCCCTAGTCTGAAACCGTCAGGTTGCCATTTGGCTGTGAACATCAAAATAGGTGGTACATGGGTGTTCATCCGCCCCAAAATGGAGGCCTAAGTTATGACCCACAGCCATTTTGGGGGGTCAGCCATCTGGGCTTTTTCGCCAACAGCTGCGCCCCTGGCGCGCTGCACGACTTTCGCGCACCCAGCGCCCGGGCCGCCGCGCCCGCGTCTGCAGGCGGCCCAGCTCGCCGCCCGAGCCCACGGCCGTGGCCAGCTTCTTGAGCTCGGCCTCGGAGCGAGGCCGCCGTCGGTGGGAGGTTTGTGACCCCAAAATCAGATGCCCCCAAAACAGTTGACCATAGGGGTCGTGTCATATGGGGGTCGCATCATATAGGTGTCATATCATAAAGTTGACTATAGTGATTACATAGGGGTCATATCATATAGTGTGTCGCAGCCAACGGTTGGCGGTGGGACAGAAATACGGTGGATGCTTGCGAAATCCTCGGAGGGACCACCGTTCAGAAACCCTGCAATGATGCTTCCCCTGTAGATACCAAGGAACGTGGATTTCCCATGGTTTCAAAGTGGTGCAGGATTTCGTCCACCCACAGTAGGTACGAACTCTGGTAAATGGAACCAAGGACTAAAACCTGCCCGCTTTATCTCTGACCCTTGCCCAGTTTTCTGGTCGAGTCCAAGGCAATGGCCCAGATCTGCCAATTGAATCACCAATCCGTGACCGAGATACACTGATGGCTTCGAATGGCAGCCTCCTCGATGTTCAGGGGATTAGTTTGATAGCCTCACGGCGTTTCTACCGCAGGCCGCACACACTGTTCAAGCACACCAAAAACTTGCAAGCAAAGGCCCCACTGTACAGTCTAATGCGTCCAACGCATACAAAAGTAATGGTGGCAATGGCTTTGCTTGCCTGTACGAGTGACAACATGCCGCAGGCCCAGGGGATGCTTTTTCTTATGCTATTCCCAACCTACATACAGAGGGGGCTCCAGAAAAAGGAGACTGGTATCCTTCTCTCTTAAAATATGTACATTCCTTTCACTCATTTGGGAGGAAAGTGCCCTTTCTGGAACACCCAATATCTGTACATCAAAGCACCCAGTGAAGGCGCCGTCAGCCCCTCCTCTTTAACTACGAGCGCTGGACCCAAATGACGCCAGGCCGGGCAAAACTAGAGCTGCCGGCTGTGATAGACCATGCGAATCACGCAGGTTCAGGCAGGTCTTCCCATTTCCGGGTAGTGGATGTAGATCCATTGGATGGGCAGGCCAGGGAGCTTGACAGCCAGTCCATGGCTTCTGAAAGACCAAAGCCTTTGGGAGCAGAGGTGCAGTGCAGGGACCAGACCTGTCGCTTTCGGAGCTGAAGCACCTCCGTCACCTCGGCAGTCATGGCGTCAGAGTCCTTGACTCACAAAGGCGACGAATATCCGGCGATCCGCGAAACAAAAACATGTTTCGTTCAACTGCTTTTGAAGCCATGGCCACGGGCCGAATGCTGCCTCCGGGCGTGCCCTACACCCCAGCAATTGCAACTGCTTTGCTTTGGGGGCATAGGAACGACGTGGCTGAGGCATGGGAACTTCGGCCAGTCCTGCTTGTTGGCGAGAACAAGCACTACCGCCCTCTCCAACTCCCGCTTTCCCATCATAGCCTGCAGCTCCTCTTTGGCTTCGCCCATGCGCTCGCCGTCAGTGCTGTCCACCACAAAGATCACCCCATCCGCGTCCGGTGAGTAGTGGTGCCAGAACCTCCGGATCTTGCTCCGCCCCCCGAAATCGAAGACTTTGAGCTTCAGATGGTTGTGCTCCACCGTCTCCATGTTGAAGCCCACGGTGGGGCGTGCCTTCACCATACCCCCAAGCCTCAGTTTGTACAGGATCGTGGTCTTGCCGGCGCCGTCGAGACCAAGCATCAGGATGCGCGCGCGGGAGCCCGTCACGCGCCAAACCTGGCTCCAACGCGCCCATGCCCGGCTCTGCACCGAGCTTTTCACCAGCAAGAGCCAAAAAGCTCCACGCCTGCAAAGCCGAGGCCTTGCGTCACCTCAAGAATTCCTCCCAAGCATGGCTGGCAATGCAGAAAAAGCAATGACGACAAAAAGGAAGAAAACAATGCGCACTCTTCCAACATCGAATTCCAACAGTGAAGAACGGCTGCAGGTTCTTGTACCTGCTCGGAATGCCTTCCTAACATGCCATCTTTCTATCTTTCGCATCCCTTGTGAATCGTTTGACAAACCAACCAGTGGCAATCGAGCAAAAGCACCCTTGGGGCATTCTGTCCAAAGCGTCCCTGCTCAGAGGGCTCCCATGGCACTATCTTCAACTCACGCTTGAGCTGGGCGCCTTCCAGTCGCATCGTTTTGTCCCAACTCAAAGGCGAATCTCCGACAGGGCGACACAACAATTGTCCGAGTATCGGAGAGAAGGCTCAAGCCTCTGGGCAGTTCAGGACCAGAGTGGACTCCTCTACCCTCTGCAGCTAAAAGTAGGCCACTACGACCACAGGTTGGTCGCATCTGTTGCAGATGACATTAAACGATGGTCGACTGGCACTCCACACTGAGCCAGGCACTGTCTTCTGGAGCAAATACTTCCGGGCGGTCACCTTGGGTTCTCTCAAGCCCCCACTTGCAGAACCTTCTGGACATTGCCAGGGATCGCGAAGGAATTGCAAGTCGGAACCTGCATTCTTGCTCAACTCTGGAAGTCAACGCTGGTCTTGCACCTGGAAGTTCAGCTAAGATAGTCAAGGCAGAAAGCTCCTTTCAATCCTTTACAGCCCAAGATGGTTGTTCGAAGGTACATGGCATCCGACCCGGATTGGTGAAGGGAACAAAGCCCAACGCCTGGGAGGTATCACCATGCACTTGTTGGCCCTTTCCAGAATCACTGTGCCAATCCTGGCGGACGGTGCTGTCGCTACTTGAGTTAGTTGAGGATTCGCCTTCTGCCGTCCGCAACCGAACACTGGCCTCCAATCCTGGAATCCAAACACGTTCACTTTGCCAACACGTGGGTATGTGCCCCAATAAGAAGACCCACAAAATGGCGATGTTTTTGTTGGTGTCCCTTTCAACCAACCTGAAAACGGTACCCTCCAAAAAGGCACAAACCCAAAGGTTCTGACCACATGCCCTCCCTCCGCCACATCTCGGCCGATTGTGCGAGGCTCGCACCACGCTTGCCTGCGCAGCACGCTCGGCGTGGTTTGCCTGGCCGAGGAAAAAACTCACACAAGCACGTCCAAAACGGCAATCGCATCGAATGCATTGGCTCCTCCACAAACTACAAATTTATCATTCAATACAATTTTCCAGGATAGGTTCGGAAAGGTTGGATTCGGCCGTGCTGAGATTAGATTTTTCAAATAATTTGAGTCTTCAATGTCTCCTGAGCGAGTGATGCCAAACTAGCTGATCAAATGCAAATAACTATCGCCAACGCAAATGTGGTTTGGACCAAATCTCCGCACATCATAGAGCCGCATGATCTCACACAAACGTAATGTATATATACATAAGCTCCAACACAACAGCTGCAAATTCACTTCGGGATAGTTTGAAGGAGAAGGCCATGTAGGTCAAAGATGATGGGCACACGAGTCATAATCAAAACCTGGTATCAAAATGGTCTACCAGAAACCATGCAAAGAACCGAAAAGGCGGCTGCAACCATTTCTAGTTGGGATTATCCCTTATGAACTTCGTCTACCCAGGTTTTTGTTGTGGCTCACGCTTTCGCGCCGTGTCGCCCTATTTGGACGCTTTGCAAGGGCTCAGCCATAACACATGGCTGGAATGCTTCACAATCAGTTCTGAAGCAAGTACTGAACAAAGTCAAGTTGGAATGAGCTCACCTCAACTCCTCACCATGCACTAGCTTGCCTCATCTCCTAGTAAAGTCAGTCCCATTCGCCAGTCTTGTCATGTTCCAGGAATCCTGTCAAGCGAGAATCGCCCAACCTCACTCACTCAAGAAGCAAAGCCTTTTTGACCCAGGCTTCCACTCTCGCTACGAAGAAATCGTTCGGAAAGTGCGAAGTGATTGCGTCCCCTAAGGGCGAGAGACGGAAACTAAGTGCTGGATCGCTCCCTTCGCGCCTGCTGAAGGGTCTCAGTGAGGTTGTCACACACCTCCCCTGCCTTGCCAAGGCCTCGAAAGCCGCGGTGAAGCGGCGGTGAAGCCTTGTTGGGGCCTTCAGAAAGGCGAGACAAGCGAAAGGCAAAAAGGAGCTGCAAATGGCTCGGGTCTGTCACTCTTCTCAGAAATCGAAACTCCAAAGGTGTCGCGAGCGAGCAAGGGAAATGTCCGGGTTCCTTTGCATTCACAATCTCTCAAGCTGTTTGCCCTTGAAACCTCACCCCCAGGAAAGTGTCTTATACAGACATGTCCAACAAGTAGTGTTTAAAATAGGGAAAACAAGATAAATCCAGGAAGCCTCCAAGAAGACATCATGCATCTTGTAGTCAACATGCTATCTACGGTGCATTCAACGACTGAAACTTGTCCTGCATCAAATGTACCCCTCTTGACGAAAGATGCCTGACTAGGTCAGCGGTGGCGCGTAACACAGGAGAGTGCCACATCAATTCACCTCCGACAGACTTTGAGCACACCCGACAAAGCAACGTTGCTTCCCAACCCACAAGCTGAACTGAAAAGAGATCATCTACAAATGAAGCCGAATGTTCGCCCTGAAAACCCATCCCCATCGAAGCGCGCTGAAGATCAATGGACCATATGAACTGGCTCCACCCAGTTCCGCTCGACGCTACGCCTGGCAGCGCAGCGGTGGCCTCCGTCATCTTCTTCACCTGGCCATCGGGTCGTCTCATGGGGAGAAGATCTGTACGTGCCTCAGCCCGGAACGGCCGACTGGTTTTTTGTTCCCGGAGTGGACCGAGTGAACCCTGCACGTGAAAGGAGCCCATGAGGCCCAAGGTGGGCGTCATCCAATTGGACCTGTTCAATTTTGGACACTGAACGAATCGCCCCCAGCTCCGGTACGAATCGCACACCTAAGAATACTACTCAGTGTGACATTGAGAAGTAGTTCGCAGCAACACGAAAACTGCACCCATGGATGTCAAACATGAATCGTGTCCAGCATCGTGTCCAGGTAAGGATCATAGAAACGTACCAAACATACACCTGACAACATTGCCAAACGACAGCAATAAAACAACTAATCACCTCGTCTCAGAATCGCACTCTCGAAACGCATGTTCCTACAAAGTGGTTGAGTGATGTTTGGCATCGCGCGGCAAAATCAAGTTCATCCTCCTCTGCATGTCCAAAGCCAGCAGCTGTACAGTCAGGCTTTGGGAAGGGGGACAGAACTGGCACCGCTGTGGGGCCCTCCTTGCTGAACAAACAGCGAGGCTGCATAGGCCCAAAACTTCCATGAGCTATACACAACTACACTATGTCAGAGCGTTGAGTACGCTTCTGTTGCCTTCTAAGTGGTGAACAGCACAACTACAGACGTTCACTCCGCGTTGCTCACTTGCGCGAAGCCAATGTGCGGGACAGCCAATCCAGCCCCTCGTAGAGACCATCTCCTGTGGGTGCACAGGTGGACTGGATGAACCACTGGCGATGTCGCAGCTTCTGCAACTCCAGCTTGTCAACCACCTCGGCTGCCGTCATGGCATTCGGCAAGTCCTGCTTGTTGGCAAGCACCAGCAGCGCTGCATCCTCCATCTCTTGCTCCGCCAGAATCTTCTGCAGCTCCTCCTTGGCATCCTGGATGCGGTCCCGGTCCGAGCTGTCCACCACATAGATCAGCCCGTCTGTGCCCTGAAAATAGTAGCGCCACAGCGCGCGGATCTTGTCCTTGGTGTTTGTTTGATCAGTGAACTCAGAACAACGCCTGGGAGCAAAACAAGCTACACACCCTCGTGCCAAGTTCTCACAACACAACGCTCACACCAAAGTACAGTCAAGGATCCTGCCCACCAATATCCCAAACCGTGAATTTGATGTTCTTGTACTCGACAACTTCTACGTTAAATCCAACAGTCGGAACAGTCATCACCACCTCCGCGAGCTTCAGGCGGTACAGGATCGTGGTTTTGCCCGCAGCATCCAGGCCAAGCATCAGGATGCGCATGTCCTTGGAACCCAGCATTCGCTGCCACACCTTGCTGAAGAGCATGCCCATTCTGAACTAAAGCCCGCTGTCTCGCAACTATCTGACACAGGGCGCTCGAGATGCTTGAGATAGCCTACCGGCGGAAGGGCAAACATGCCAAAACACGCACGCGTGCACGGCTTCCGCACACCGCGAGAAACAGTAGCTCGTGAGGACCGGTATAGCAAGTATCAAACAAGCTTCATCATTTGCGCTTGCTTGTCTGATCAATCCTTATTGTCTTGTAGGCTACCAGAACAAAAGCTGGTTTCTTTGGAGCAGGCCTGAACTTCATTTTCTGGGCATACTGGTCATGGAATGGACAGCTGGTCATCAGGCTCATTCCTCAACTTGATTATTCGTATGCCAATCGCTTTCAGTATCACTTAATTATCGGGTCAACATGGGATTGATTTCTTGAAAGTCCACAGTGTGATGCAGTTCACAAAGCTTCCATGAAGCTTTTTCGCAGGGTTTTAGCACGTCTCGCAAAACCTGAGGCCAAAGGTTGGCCTACTAAACTGGAACAAGGGGGGCGGGTGATGAGGAATACTGACAATCTCGCCAATCTCAATCAGCGGCCACGACTTCCCTGCCACTACCAGAAACAAGCAACCCAGAAATTTCAAACATTCAGCGTCGTGTCCAGCATCGTGTCCAGGAAAGGATCATGAAAACGTACCAAACATACACCTGACAACATTGCCAAACGAACAGCAATAAAACAACTCGTCGGCCTCGTCTCAGAATCGCACTCTCGAAACGCATGTTCCTACAAAGTGGTTGAGTGATGTTTGGCATCGCGCGGCAAAATCAAGTTCATCCTCCTCTGCATGTCCAAAGCCAGCAGCTGTACAGTCAGGCTTTGGGAAGGGGGACAGACCTGGCACCGCTGTGGGGCCCTCCTTGCTGAACAAACAGCGAGGCTGCATAGGCCCAAAACTTCCATGAGCTATACACAACTACACTATGTCAGAGCGTTGAGTACGCTTCTGTTGCCTTCTAAGTGGTGAACAGCACAACTACAGACTTTCACTCCGCGTTGCTCACTTGCGCGAAGCCAATGTGCGGGACAGCCAATCCAGCCCCTCGTAGAGACCATCTCCTGTGGGTGCACAGGTGGACTGGATGAACCACTGGCGATGTCGCAGCTTCTGCAACTCCAGCTTGTCAACCACCTCGGCTGCCGTCATGGCATTCGGCAAGTCCTGCTTGTTGGCAAGCACCAGCAGCGCTGCATCCTCCATCTCTTGCTCTGCCAGAATCTTCTGCAGCTCCTCCTTGGCATCCTGGATGCGGCCCCTGTCCGAGCTGTCCACCACATAGATCAGCCCGTCTGTGCCCTGAAAATAGTAGCGCCACAGTGCGCGGATCTTGTCCTTGGTGGGTGTTTGATCAGTGAACTCGGAACAACGCCTGGGAGCAAAACAAGCTACACACCCTCGTGCCAAGCTCTCACAACACAACGCTCACACCAAAGTACAGTCAAGGATCCTGCCCACCAATATCCCAAACCGTGAATTTGATGTTCTTGTACTCGACAACTTCTACGTTAAATCCAACAGTCGGAACAGTCATCACCACCTCCGCGAGCTTCAGGCGGTACAGGATCGTGGTTTTGCCCGCAGCATCCAGGCCAAGCATCAGGATGCGCATGTCCTTGGAACCCAGCATTCGCTGCCACACCTTGCTGAGGAGCATGCCCATTCTGAACTGAAGCCCGCTGTCACGCAACTATCTGACACAGGGCGCTCAGCTCGAGATGCTTGAGATAGCCAACCGGCGGAAGGGGCAAACATGCCAAAAAACGCACGCGTGCACGGTTTCCGCACACCGCGAGAAACAGTAGCTCGTGAGGACCGGTATAGCAAGTATCAAAAAAGCATCATCATTTGCGCTTGCTTGTCTGATCAATCCTTATTGTCTCAAAGGCTACCAGAACAAAAGCTGGTTTCTTTGGAGCAGGCCTGAACTTCATTTTCTGGGCATACTGGTCATGGAATGGACAGCTGGTCATCAGGCTCATTCCTCAACTTGATTATTCGTATGCCAATCGCTTTCAGTATCGCTGAATTATCGGGTCAACATGGGATTGCTTTCTTGAAAGTCCACAGTGTGATGCTGCACGTCTCGCAAAACCTGAGGCCAAAGGTTGGCCCACTAAACTGGAACAAGGGGGGCGGGTGATGAGGAATACTGACAAGCTCGCCACAAGATCCCGGCCACTACCAGAAACAAGCAACCCAAAAATTCAATCATTCAGCGTCGTGTCCAGCATCGTGTCCAGGTAAGGATCATACAAACGTACCAAACGTTCACCTGACAACATTGCCGCACGAATAGTAAAAAAACAACTCGTCGGCCTCGTCTCAGAATCGCACTCTCGAAACGCATGTTCCTACAAAGTGGTTGAGTGATGTTTGGCATCGCGCGGCAAAATCAAGTTCATCCTCCTCTGCATGTCCAAAGCCAGCAGCTGTACAGTCAGGCTTTGGGAAGGGGGACAGAACTGGCACCGCTGTGGGGCCCTCCTTGCTGAACAAACAGCGAGGCTGCATAGGCCCAAAACTTCCATGAGCTATACACAACTACACCATTTCAGAGCGTTGAGTACGCTTCTGTTGCCTTCTAAGTGGTGAACAGCACAACTACAGACTTTCACTCCGCGTTGCTCACTTGCGCGAAGCCAATGTGCGGGACAGCCAATCCAGCCCCTCGTAGAGACCATCTCCTGTGGGTGCACAGGTGGACTGGATGAACCACTGGCGATGTCGCAGCTTCTCCAACTCCAGCTTGTCAACCACCTCGGCTGCCGTCATGGCATTCGGCAAGTCCTGCTTGTTCGCAAGCACCAGCAGCGCTGCATCCTCCATCTCTTGCTCCGCCAGAATCTTCTGCAGCTCCTCCTTGGCATCCTGGATGCGGCCCCTGTCCGAGCTGTCCACCACATAGATCAGCCCGTCTTTGCCCTGAAAATAGTAGCGCCACAGCGCGCGGATCTTGTCCTTGGTGTTTGTTTGATCAGTGAACTCGGAACAACGCCTGGGCGCAACAAAAGCTACACACCCTTGGGCCAAGTTCTCACAACACAACGCTCACACCAAAGTACAGTCAAGGATCCTGCCCACCAATCTCCCAAACCGTGAGTTTGATGTTCTTGTACGCGAGCCTCAGGCGGTACAGGATCGTGGCTTTGCCCGCAGCATCCAGGCCAAGCATCAGGATGCGCATGTCCTTGGAACCCAGCATTCGCTGCCACACCTTGCTGAAGAGCATGCCCATTCTGAACTAAAGCCCGCTGTCGCGCAACTATCTGACACAGGGCGCTCGAGATGCTTGAGATAGCCAACCGGCGGAAGGGGCAAACATGCCAAAAAACGCACGCGTGAACGGTTTCCGCACACCGCGAGAAACAGTACCTCGTGAGGACCGGTATAGCAAAGATCAAACAAGCATGATCATTTGCGCTTGCTTGTCTGATCACTCCTTATTGTCTCAAAGGCTACAAGAACAAAAGCTGGTTTCTTTGGAGCAGGCCTGAACTGCATTTTCTGGGCATACTGGTCATGGAATGGACAGCTGGTCATCAGGCTCATTCCTCAACTTGATTATTCGTATGCCAATCGCTTTCACTATCGATTAACTGTCGGGTCAACATGGGATTGTTTTCTTGAAAGTCCACAGTGTGATGCTGCACGTCTCGCAAAAACTGAGGCCAAAGGTTGGCCTACTGGAACAAGGGGGTCGTTGTACAATCATCCCAAGAAGGAAAACGTATATTGGACCAGAACTGACAAAGCTGGCAGAAGAAAACAACAAGACCAAGCCGTATCTGCAGGGAGAAAAGCTTGACGGGTGACGAGGAAAACTGACAAGCTCAATCAGCGGCCACGACTTCCCTGCCACTACCAGAAACAAGCAACCCAGAAATTTCAAACATTCAGCGTCGTGTCCAGCATCGTGTCCAGGTAAGGATCATGAAAACGTACCAAACATACACCTGACAACATTGCCAAACGAACAGCAATAAAACAACTCGTCGGCCTCGTCTCAGAATCGCACTCTCGAAACGCATGTTCCTACAAAGTGGTTGAGTGATGTTTGGCATCGCGCGGCAAAATTAAGTTCATCCTCCTCTGCATGTCCAAAGCCAGCAGCTGCACAGTCAGGCTTTGGGAAGGGGGACAGAACTGGCACCGCTGTGGGGCCCTCCTTGCTGAACAAACAGCGAGGCTGCATAGGCCCAAAACTTCCATGAGCTATACACAACTACA